CTCGAAGATACACAAGCGGAAACTGATAAGTTGAGAGGAGACACCGGTAGCAAAGATAGGACTTCAAGTGTTCATGAGGAAGACAGAGATAATAAAGATGCTGAACCAACACTAACATCCATTCGATATTGAAGATCCTATGACACACCCGAAAGAATAAGAGACAAGGAACTGTGGTAGTTATCCAACCGAGAAGCGATTGCCCAATAAGCATGCAGAAGAAATGAAGATTGATATGACACGCGCTAAAGAGACCATTGAATGATATCGTGTGCTAGGCAGACCCTGCGGTGGAATCGAAATGAGAAACGACCGGCTGGCTGACATGGAGGAGATAGTATGAAGAAGAGATAAAGGCTTGTACGCAAATGGAGACGTGCTGTCGACGCTCAGTGTCATATATATATATATATATGTATAGTACTTCGCCTAGTTAACTAGATTTTAGCCGGTCCCAAATTCGAGTAAAGAGGAGTGGTTGAGGAATTTCAGCACACAGGAAATATATTAAAAATACCATAACTTCATATAAAAACAACCTTATTCTTCGCCCGAATCGGAAAGGTCAAGTGACATAGCAGGCTGGTGAAAGCCAGCCTTCAGGAAGCCAGTCTGTCGATATGTCTTCTCTCGATGAAAGCATGAGCAAGAATGGGGACGTGGAATGTCCGTACAATGTACGAGACTGGGAAGGCTGCCCATTTAGCCAGAGAGATGCGAAAATATGCCTTAGAAGTATTGAGTATCTGTGAAAGCAGATGGAATGGATGTGGAATGACAACATTGTCAGCGGGAGAGTTAATAATCTACTCCTGTCACCCGAACGACGACCAAAAACACACTGAGGGAGTGCCTATCATGATGTCACCAGTTCCAGCCAAAGTTCTGATGCAGTGGAAACCAATTAATATCCAGGATCATGACAGCAAGATTCAATTCAGAAGGAAGGAAAGTCAAAATTATCCAGTGCTACACACACTGCTACATACAACGCGGAACAAGTGAAGAATTTCACAGAAAATTTCAAACAGTAATGAACAACATCCAAAATGGTGACATCAAATTTCTCAAGGGCGATTTGACTCCAAACTGGAAGCAGATATTACAGGAAGAGAACTCATCATGGATCGAGAGGCTGTCGTTCGGAACAATGAATGAGAACGGAGAATTATTCTCAGATTTCTGCTCTATCAACGATTTGGTGATCGAAGGGAGCATTTACAAACAGAAGGATATACACAAATCAACATGGATTTCAACTGACAGACATAACAAAAACCAGATAGATTTCAAGGAAGTGGAGACGCAACTTGCTAAATAAAAAGTGGAGAAGGTGAGCACATATGGATCCAGACCATCATTTAGTTCATAGAACCTTCAAGGTGAAGCTGAAATCCATAAAAACAACTGGAGACAGAGTCAATTAAAGTTCAACATTCAGAAACTGTAGGAAAAAACTGTAAGGAACACCTTCACTACAGATATCAGAGCAAAGTCAAACACAATACGTGGCATCACTGAGGAAACCCGTGTGGTAGAACATTGGAACCAACTTTCTGAAGGTGATGTTCAAGGAAACCAGTAAAACTCTTATAGGAAGAAAGAAGAGACAAGACAAGGAATTTCTGCCAACGGATATGTGGAAGCTAATTCAGGAGAGGAGGATGGTGAAAGAAGAGATGACTCAATGCAAAGATGGAAAACAGAAGGAGAAGCTGAGTTCAATGTACACTGCACTGAATGAGGAAAGAAGTAAAGAAGAGTGTTAGAAAAAACAAACGACATTTCTACGACAAACTGTAAACTGAATCAGAATAAGTTAGCCACAGGCAAAAGCAACACCAGGACGATACATAAGATAATCAAGTCTCTATCCTCGAAGAGATCAACCAGATGTTGAAACCAACTAAAGGAGCTCAAATGAAACTTGTCCATAAAGGAGGAGAAACAAATCAAACAATGGGCTGATCACTTTAAAGTACTCTTGAATCGACTATCACCTGCAACTCGCCAGGGAACAGCACCATCACAAACAGTATGCACGGAACTGCCTGCCAGTGGTCACCCACTCCTCCAGCGAAAAAAGAAATACTGGATGTGATCAAGCTACTGAATACGGGCCTGGAGGGCAGCGGGATCAGACGGGATTTCCCCGAAGCACTGAAGACGGCCCCAGAGATTACGGTAGATGCAAAGGGTTTGGAAAGATGGAAAAGTGCCTACTGATTGGAAGAAGGGCTACTTACGCCTGTGCAAGAACTGACTGAAGTGAAATAATGCTCTCATGCAGGCCAGGTAAAATGCTAAGTCGCACCACCTCTCAGTGAATTAAACATGCACTGGATACAGAACCCCGCCAGCCAGAACAAGCTAGATTCAGGAAAAGTTAATCATGTGCTCATCATATTGCTACCCTAATCTACGTCACAATAGAAAAAAGCACAGAATGGCGATCACACCTCCACTGCAACTTCATCGACTTTGAAAAGGTCTTCGGCAGCGTAGACCGAGAAGTAATTTCGAAACTACATCAACAAACTGACTGAAAAGGCAGCGAAAACAGGACTCCAGGTGAGCACAGAGAAAACGGAGGTGAGGAAGACAACTAAACAACCAACAGCAACAACAACGACCAGAACCAACTACCATCGACGGGAGAGATTTAACAGCGGTTACTTCCTTCACTTATCCGGGATTCATCGTTTCAACTACAGGTGGAACGGACGAAGATGTCAAAGCCCATAAAGAGTCGGAAAGCCAAGATGCGCCTTCATCAAACTGAAACCAGCTGGTAAATCTTCTGCACTGCCTCAGCAGAAGGAACAAGATTAGGATTTTCAACACCAATGTCAAGTCAGTTGGTTCTTCTATACTTGTCAGAAACTTGGCGTGTAATGAAAATGATTTTCAACGAGTTACAAACTTTTATCAATGGCTCCCTTCCCTGGCTCCATACTGAAGATCAAATGGCAACAAGAAACTGTGGTAACAAACCAACTAAGGGCCGACCGCTCATCAAATTTATAGGAGAAAATGGAGATGGATCAATCGGGCATACATTGAGGAGGCTGCCGAATGACATCGTACACTAGGCCCTCAATCGGAATCCTGATAGGAAGCGACCAGTGGGTCGTCCTAGAGTGACATGTAGGAGATCGTATGAGGAAGAGATGAGACAGTTTGACCAGTCATGAATCCAGATGATGAGGCCGGCAGAAAACAGAACAAAGTAGATATGTGTTGTTGAAGCCCTATGTTCCACTCGGAACGCAAGAGAATGATAATGATAAATTATATATATATATATATATATATATATATATACCACGCTGTGAGCTGTACACACTGTGTGAGGACTTGTGATGCTGCCTAGATGCCCAGACCAACAAAAGTGCAGTCAAATGACGGAAATATCTAGTGGTCAAGCTGATGAGTTACATCCACAATAATTTGATAAACAACAGTTTTTGTATTTATCTGCCAAATGTTCTTCCATAATCATACATTGATTATTCATCGGTTCATTACTCAAAGATACAAAACAATTTTTATGACTCACTATTCTATCTACACTCTACATTTCAAAATACACAATTCCCTAATGGATGCAGGTTCCAAAGTCCGTTTATTTCAGCTAATTCCGGGTAAATTAACGATGGAATTTTTGACTGTCGGTAGACTGAATCATATAACAGACTTTGATTAGGCAGAGAGAAGTCAGAAACACGTCTGACTGAGAAAACGAGCCTAGAATACCTAGAATTCTCGGAACATGTATCTTTAATCTCACACATACTCGAAGATCTACAGGTACAAACCGAAAAGCAGACATAAGAGGCAGTGCAGTGTAGGCTAGGGTTCACATGAACATAGAGTAGACAGAGTTGATGAAGATACCCAGCCAACAAGAACATCAACAATAACCGCTAATTACAACCAGATGGAGTAATCTAAAGTCAATTATTTTTTGAAGTTATCTATCTGAGCTGATTCGTTTTAACTACAACAGCTGACACGGATGTTAATCCCAAAGCTAATCATGATCAGAAACACGGAATTTGTGTGAATAACGCTGAATTCATTGTTAACATCTACAGAACCAAGCAGAAGACATCAAAGTCTAGTCGCCCTGTATTTCTATATATTTTAAAGACTTGGGGTAACACCTGCTCACTTCACTTGATACTCTAATTTATTTTTTTGATTTACAGCTTGATTCCACACTGTATTTTTGGTACAAGTATGGAATTTTCAGCATGGATATTGGCAGCCCAAATTTTGCAGGCCGACCATAGATATCAGGTGTGCGTCAGTAGGGGATCGAACCCCGGACAATGTGCATGGTCGGCGAGAGTCCTAACCACTGTGCCACCGACGCATGTCACGTACGTCACATGACTGGCCACAAGAGATAAGCCACAATGGTCTGTGGAAGCCAGCAAAGACACCAAGAGGCTATAGATCAATGTTTATGCACGCCTAAATAGTGAAGCATCAGTAGGACATACGAAGAAAATACTTACTAGTTAGCCTTTCTAGAGGATCTTTTGATGGGAAGCGATTGATTTGGTGTTCGTGAATAACACAAAGAGGATCATATGAAGACATATCGAAAGTGTGTGGGCAATCATGGTGCCAGTTGAAGATGTTCCACTGAAGCAGACCCACGCACTAATCACAATGAGAAGAACAAACGATAGTAACAGTAATAACAATAACAGACTGTTAGTACAATGAAGTGTATCAATTGAATATATGTCGAATATTTGTAAAGATAATACAGTCAGACAATGTTTCAATTACGTTACACGATTGGCTACGGTCGCACAAATAGAGTGACGGTCAAAACAAATAAAATAATGAACAAACGGAAGAAGAATCAGAAATGAAATGTGATTTAGATAATGGTATAGTGATGATGATGATGAGTCTTGGAAAAATAAAATGTGGAATGTCACGGTAATTTGGTGCAAAAACTTTCAAACAAAATTTAAAATGTGTCATTCACAGTTGGGTAGATGTCCAATGATTATCACACGAAGTGTATACGTCTCTGAATTTCAACAAATATCACATATGATGTAAGCAAATAACTTACGTGACTCAATGTCCAATTTGTGTTCATTGATCACATTAGAATAGTTGGATGCATGAGATGCATGACAGCAATGCAGACTATTAGGAGTATTATTTTAATATCAGGAATATGCTTAATTTGTACCGACGAAATAAGTATATCGTCGAAATCGGCAAATCTAAATTAGAAATACACAATAGCAAAAATGAGCTGAATAATAATATTGGCGCTCATAAATATCAATTTCAAATAAGGACAGTAAATAAAACGGATTGATTGCTACTATCAACGCAGATTTCATCAGGAATCAAAATCAGTTAACGAGATTATTGAAAACTAGAAGGGAGCACTGTGGCTACGAGTGGCTTGTCGCTACCAAGGTGACATAGAGGAGTTCGTGAGAGGTGGAGACGAGAGATTATGGGTTATCGTGGGGACAGCAAAAAGTAGAACAAAGTGGAGGTGTGTTGTTGAAGCCCTATATTCCACTCGGAACCCAAGAGAATAGTCGTTCCCTGTAATTTTTATTTTAAATGTTTAGTTTGCTTTTACTTTCACCCAGAAGCTCAGTTACCTAATTAAAAGGTCTGGCAAATGACCATACTATCCAACTGCTCCGAGTAAAGTCAATAGACCAGCATTCAAACCCAAAATGCCTAAGTCAGAAGCCAATTCTTCAGGCTGATGAGCCACATCTCAGAATGCAGGAAAGTGATTGATTTCATATTAGTGAGCTATGCTCAATAGCTAAAAAATAATATTACAATACAGCACACATTTATTTGACAGTTTCACCAGTTGTAATCACGTTGTGGTAGGGTGATTCACCGTCTCCTTTCGTATACCAAAAATTTCACTCAGTTTCTCTTGATATCACCTGGATCGGTTAACTGATACAAAGTTAGAATTTCGGTGAGCTGTAATGTTCACTTTATCTCTCGAACATTTCAGATATTGATTTATGGCACGTTTAAATGACAGGAAAACTTTAAGTACCAATGTGTTCTTGAATATGTCCTGAGAGTTGATGAAATATCCATCCTTCTCTCTTTCCAATGTACTTGTTCAGCAATAAATGTAAATATTTAGACACAATTCACGATAACTTCTGATGGCTTCCTGTCCGTACTTGACTGATAAACAGCACAAATGGTGTTGTGCACAGAGATAAGTTTAGCAGTTGGATAAATTATAGAAAACATAAGATGGCGACTTCACTTATTCCTGTTCGTACCTAATAGAACAGAAACTGAGGTAGTTGAAATACTGTTTATTAAACAGTTGGAAGCAGTTGGTAGGAAGCCTTCAACCTAGATTTCGTTCAACCAAAGTATCCGATATAGCCCTACAGGAGGTCAGCTCCAAGTTCAAATAGCTTAGTGGTAACACCTTTCACTACAGCATTGGATGACTCTGGTCCGAATCCTGTGAAGGGATGTGAGTTCCTTCAAGGTTGCAGACACGCCTCGCTGACTTCTGGTGAGTGCCAGTTAATAAGCACTAGACCCTTAGGTCCAAGGCTTCCCACCGATTACTGCTAACCGTCTCATGCCAACATGCTTTAGGATATCCATCCAGTGAAAACAAATAGAATTGACCATTTCGACAGGATAAATCAGTACACATGATACATATTCAAAAAGGTGTGTCTTACGGAGGTGGAACAGGTTGAGGTGTCAGTGTTTCTTCCATTTCCTCCAGCGACTCTTCCATTTCTTTTCCGCCCCTAACCATTCTTCTCCTTTTCCTCTATCTAACTCTTCATCTCCTTTTTCTGCCTCTTCTACTTTACTTCCATCCAATCGAACACGAGCTAATAATCTTTCATAGAAAGAGCCATTGGATCGACGATCTATTACCATTAAGGTTTGACCTTCTTTTCCAATGCTTTTTAGATAAACAAGGCGACCACCTCTTTTCAAACGTTGCTTTAACTACAATAGAATAAATGATTTAAGAAGAAAACATCCTAAAAGTAACCAAATGTTATGAAAGATTCCAACAGTATATATATATATATATATATATATATATATATATATAAGTTAATTCACTTAGTTCTCAATCCTTAAAATCTGCTCAGAAATAATAAATAAAAAAAGGAATTAAATTATATTAAATCAAGAAAAACACCATCTTTGAGATGGATAATTATTAAAAGTGAAAATTAGACTTCAGCTAGCACAGGAATGAAATCAGCTGCTAGCAGATTACAAGCTTCATAGTAAAGCCTCTCAGCTTATTTCTATAAGGAATCAACATTTTAAAGTTCTCCGGGTCGTCACATCTTCAATTCAACATACAACAGTTTTTTTTCTCTTAACATCATTATTAGTCTGTAGGTCTGTGACTGATATCAGCGAACCTGACTGAAAAAAAACCATTTTTGTTCTTCAGGTAAAGGAAGCAGAAAATGAGCAGAAGACTGATAGATAAAAAGAACAATCCTATATATATTCAAACTTATCATAACTACTAGTAAGAATCTTCAAAGCAATATAAATAGTCAGGATGACTTTATTATTATATCATTTAATTCCTAGAGGAACATAGGGCTTCAGCCGCGCGTATCCATTGCCTTCGGTTCTCTGCCAACGTTTTCACCCCGCTCCAAATCTGTCCACATGCTTTCATCTCCTCTTCATTTGACCTCCTCCAAGTCACCCCACCGTGGAACGACCAACTTGCCGCTTCCCTTTCGGGTTCCACTCGAGCAATGGCTTTTCTAGTGATATCACTTGATGGTTTCCTCAGAGTATGGTCAAACCATCTCCATTTCTTCTTGCCTATTTGTTTCACAATCGGTTCCTGCCGGGTAGGTTAGCTCATTGCCAGAGATCCCTCCCTGTTGCTGATCTTTTCCGGCCATCTAATCTTCAACGAAGTATTGAGCGAAGACAACTGTAAATGAAGGTCTGAAGTTTGTTTGAGATGCTCTTTATGACGCGCCAAGTCTCTGACCCATATAGTAGTAATTCCTTACTTCACATTTGAGTTAAAAGTCCGGATCTTATCTTTGATGCTGAGTGTTGTTGACCTCCACACAGACTTGACATGAGTAATGAAAGCTTGTCTTGCTTTTACGATTTTTGCTTTGAAACCCTCGTTAGTTCCGTTGGCCTGTAGTTGAAACGATGCTTCCCATGTAGGTCGGTATGTAAAGGAGGTTGTTTCTTTCAGGTTCCTCCCATTTATGCTGATTGTTGTTGTTGCTGTTGGCTTAATGACTTTGAACAAAACAAATTCTATTCCCATCCAACTGGAACACTACACATTGTCGTTGAACAGAGTATACAGTCGCAGTTAAATCTCTGCCTCGACTACATCAACTTTGAAAAATAAACCAATGACCACGTTGACTTCAAAATGATTCGGAAACTCCTTCAACGCAAACCTTTATCTGCCTCATTTAACTGTTATATGATGGCACCATATGCCCAGATGATTCAAAACCGAAATTTTGACCAGGCCTTCAATTGAAAAGCTAGGGGTAAGACAAGGCTGGTTAACAATTTTTACCAGTAATACTCTTGATTTTGGTGATCATGCAATACCCTGAGAGGAGGGTGGAAGACAGGAATGTGTTAGACATGGTGAAATAACCTAGAAGACTTAGACTTCACAGATGATACAGGTTTAATGTCACATTAACTAGAAGACCTAATAGTAAAACTCAACAAGTTTTCAGATGATGCAGAGAAGATAGAATTTCTAGTGATTATAAGAAAGACAGATATAGAAGGGATACCAGACAAACAACAGTATCCAGCGCCAAACACGGTCAGTGGGAGAAATTTGAAAGAGGTCATTTTCTTCACTTGTTTCCATAGAGGCATTTCAAGAAGAGGCAGACGGGACGGGTGATGATGTCAAATCCAGTCAGAATCGGAAACACATGACATGTGTGTATCACTCTGAAATCAATTTGGAAATCTCTTGCACTAAATGTAGAGCGTTTAATTCAGATTTTCAGCAAATATGTTAAGTCAGTTCTTCTTTATGGTTTAGAGATCTTCCATGTCATGAAAGGCATTTTTCACAGACAGGGCACTGTAGACTTTATCACCATCTACCTTCACTCTATACTAGGGATCAGATGGCCAGCCAGAAAGGATTTTTTCCTTCACGTTTCCCAGTGGAACATAGGGCTTCGAGCTGGTGACTTGAAGTTTCTGTAGCAGTGTTTATTTTTTTACAGAATGGGGTTGCTAGCCTCATGCCCAACTTTTCCTCTTTACCGGCATTGTTTCTGGCTTAGCGAGGTAAAGGAGTGCGTCGGTAGCCGGGGATCGAACTCTGGGCCATGTATATGGTCGGCGAGCTTCCTAACCACTATGCAACCGACGCACAAAAAGTCGGCAACATCCGGTATTCCCAGTCGGTCACCCATGCAAGTATTAAATGGGCCCAACGTTGCTTAAATTTGGTGATCGAACGAGAACCGGTGCTTTCAACGTGGTATGGTCGCCGACGATTAGAGACTAGAAACTCTTGGAACGAACCAATCAACAGCCTACTGCTCAAAAAATTAAGGCGAATAAAATGTAGAAGATCGAATAGACTATGAGGAGACTGATGACTGACATCACATGCCAAGCCATCGCTTTCGTACCAAAGTCAGCCATATATATATATATATATTTGAGTAGAGTCAGAGATGAGGATCTGACTGAAGAATAAATGTTTCTTCTCTAACTCCTTTTTTCTTCTGAATATTAGGCTGGTACTAGTCATCAAGTACTAGCAGGCCCCAGATGTACTCATTTTTAGTGGATTATGATTAGCATTTATAATACTGTGATATCATGTCACGCTAAGTAGACTGTAGAACACAAGTTTTGAAAATCTTAATCTAATAATATATGACAATCTAAGTCTTAACTAAATTCGATTAAAGGAAATCGATCCTTGGTTAACTGGAAGATAGGAATGAAATATTTCCGGGCTACTGAAGAAAGACCATATCTTATTACGTAGGATGTTAAAAGTTGTCATTCAACCAGCTTGTTAATATTCTGGTCGACAGGCACTTGGACACATTTGAAAAATGGGCTACATCCGTTCTTTCTAACTCACACCACCCTCTTCATTCACAACTCTCCCCTTGTATCTATCTCATCAGGCAGAACCAAAAGCCTATACAGGAAACTATATGCTCGCACTGCCAAGTACAAAATCTCAAACACACTCTATTTAGATCGTGTTCTGTGCGATAAAGAAAGCATTAGGCGTGAAACTTATAACTTATTTAATAGTCAGTGGAACAACTGGATCTCGTCCTTCCAACTCACATCATTTACAGGTACAAGGTTTGCTTTCTTTCTTTTCCTTTTCTCTTTTTTGTTATGCGCTGTTTTGTTCCTCTCTTCCTTATAAACTCTATTTATAAAATTCTTCTTCGTTCTTTCACACTCTGTATATCTTGACCTTTTTGTTACCGCTTACGCCAGTAAATATGCTAGTAGTATCTACTTTTCTAACACCTTCAAACACTCTGTTCACTTTTGGCTTTGCTGTCGATATGCTAGTATGTTGTTATCAAAACTAACCGAGATTACCCTTAATCTATGTAGAATTTTATTTTATTGTTATTGTACTAACTGGATGCAATAGTGTAGTAAAATGCTGAGAATTCTATTCTGTATCACAAGTACTGTTTTGGAATAAAGCATATAATTATTATTATTCTTTCCTAAATATAGATCCTTTCTGTAGGCGAAATATAAGTATAAAAGTTCTTAAGAGGATTTTAATAAATATTAGTCGGTTTTTAACCATTACAAATTCATCTCATCATAGCCAGTTTACATCACAGTCACTCACGTCAAATGAAACGGTAACAGGTTAAATTATATGCATCTGCTCTAGTTGTCTTCATCTCCTTGCCTTCCATTTGGAACATAGAGCTTCAGGCTCTAAAGCTTCAATACCGGTGATATTTTCTTTACAGAGTTTGGCTGCTGGTCTCCGTCTGTTTCGAGTGTATTACCCACTATTGACGAGGTTTTAAAGTGCACCAGCTGGAAATCGAGCCGCGAACATCTGCAAGGTTGGTGAGCGTCCATCTCCTGAACCACTAACACACTAAATAACAACCGAGGAATGAGTGATTCTTCATCAATGTGGACACAGTAATGGTGTATTAGATGGTTGGAGGCAATCGGCAGGAAGCCTTGGACCAAGGTTTCGTGCTAGCTGGCACTCATCAGCAAGGCGTATCTGCAAACTTGAAGAAACTCATGTCCCTTCTGAGGAGATTTGAACCCGCGTCACCCAGTGCTGCAGTCAAAGACATTGCCACTAAGCTATTCAGGCTCGCGATTGACCTCCTGTAGGACTGTATTGGATATTTTTGATTGCACACTAGTCAGTAACTAGTGTAATGTGTCTAGTCCTATCTTCGGTGTAGAGTGAATTCCATCAGTCAAGCTTGCGATGTGGCCACCATGCTAGATGGCTTGCCAGTAATGATGCGCTATATCTTTTGACAAATTTTACTGACGAAATTTTCTACTTGTGAAGTTGACTTTTTTAGTGTTTAAATGAATCAGTCATAAATAAAAAAAAAACAACAGCATGGTAGTATTCCAGAAGTTATTGATTTTAGAAGAAATTCGTACTAACTTACTTTCACGATGGTGTTTTTATCATCCCCATTATAAAAAGTGGCACTAAACTCTATAGAGAGCACCTCGTCACCTGGATTGCTACGAGTATAGAATTTAAACGGTAAGTGTCTAAAAAGGCGGTATTTTTGTGCTATTTCACTCGATTTAATCCATTTTTCAATATTATTATAATTCAAATTGGTTACTCGGCCATCCTTTTCAATTCCTACGATGATACCTGTATTTGTTACCTTTAAACAATACAAAAAAATAATAAACTTTACCAAAATAGCAATACACTTTAAAGTACTAAGCACATTAATCCTTCAATATATATATATATATATATATATATATATATATATATATATATATATATATATATATATATATACCTAAAGTAATATAATAAAGGTTTTGTATTTCCCAATGAATGAATGTAAAACAAAGCGGTATTGTTTCACTTTACTGACGTTTCGTTATTTAATGCTGCTGCTAATAGCTTTATCAAAGTATTATTAAACCAGAATTTACAAAATCCACACAGCATATATATAACGAAGAGTTAAGGGGTGAGAAAATAGACTACTTAGGTCAAATTAAAAGGATATATTGAAAGTCGAAATAACAATGAAGACCACTTAACCAAATATCAAAGGTAATAGTACATTTGTTATGATATCAAAATAAAATTTGCTAACTTGATTATCGTTAGTCAGTATGGGGTCATTTTTCGTTGTCAAGTTGGTCAATTGGTAAAGATAACAAAATCAAATGTAGATTGTTGGATTTGATCACTGTGTAAAATTATAAAAGCAGTGTGTGTTTACAAAGTGAACTTGCTTATCACATTCGTGTTGATTTTGTCACTTCATGGGGGAGGGGTTGGGGGTGTTGTAACCAGGTCAAATTCTGTTTTAGTCCATCATTCCTGTTCAGACAATTTGGATTCCATTTGATATAAAGTGCTTCTGATATTAGACATTCTTTGGGATTTCTGAAGTTTTTCTGGATGATGATTTCAATATTGTCGAAATCAATTTTATGGCCTGATTCTACAGTGTGTAGACCTATGGCTGAAGATTTTTCAAGCTTTTCTAGTTCAATTGGATTTCTTGGTGGTCGAAGAGATGCTCTACGGTATTCATTTCTTCTGATTTTGATTTCTCGGGATGTTTTTCCGATGTATATGGCATCACATTCCAAGCATTTTATTTTATAGGCACAATTAGATAGAGGATCTTTCGGGATTTGGTATTTTATATGGACAAGGTTGTTTCGTAGCGTGCATGTCTGATGTTTTGAAGAAAACTCTAATGTCGAGCTGATTGAGTACTCTTCTGATATCGCCTGACGTCTCTGCTCTATATGGAATGACGACTGTTGATGTCCATGTTTTCAGAATGCGTTTTCTGCCCTACCTAATGTCAGTGTTGATTTCGTTGATGAAGTTCCTTGGGTAGTTGTTTTGCTTGAGAGTTTCAGTAATGTTTGATATTTCTTCTTCTTTTTCTTGCTCATCCATCACCAGAGAGTGTGTTCGTCAAAGAAGACTTGAAACAACTGAAATTTTTTTGCGCTGATGGGGTGTGATGATTTGAAGTCTAAATATTTGTTGGAGTGGGTTTTCTTCCTGAATATGGATATACCAAAATGTCCGTTTTCCTTTGTCTTAATTAGGTAGTCTAGAAATGGTAGTTCACCGACGTCTGATCCTGCTTCCGAAGTGAACTGGATTTTGGGAGATACACAGTTTATTTTCTGCAGGAATGAATTGTGTAGATCTCGTTTAAGTACTACAAAAGTATAATCCACATATCTTAACCATATTTTAAGAGTGAGTATGCTTGAAATGATGTTATTTTCGAATTTATTCATGAAAAGGTCGGCGACTATTTTTCAAACCGTTAAAAGTGAACTTGGTTTGGACATATATAACCTAAAGTAATAGTTAAACATCATATCATTCATAGGAAGTGGATTAATGGAAATGAAATGAAAACGTCTGTAATGACAAGATATCTGTAAAGTTCACAGTTGTCCACAATTCTTCCCCTTGAACATCAATGCTGTTTATCTCTAGTAACTCACCATAACCTCTTTTGTTCGTTTTCCAAAATGTGTTAGGAATGTAGTTGTTCTTAAGCATAAGTAAGTGAATGGTAGGGTAGACGAACCTGACCACATAACCTGGAAATCTCCAATTCAGTATCTAGTGGTGTTGTGGATGTACACTGATGATGATGAGTGACAAACTAGGATCCGCACGGCTCTCCAGTGATCCTTAGTTTTGTGAGTCAGTGGTACATTGGTAGAATGCTCAGTGACCACACACACACAGTTGTCTGAGTCCAATGTCCTGCTGACGCTCTCATGAAGCTCACTTACCTGGTGGCAAGCATAGCAGACAGTGAAGGTTTTAGGCATGAGCCTAGCAGAACCATCCAGTAAAAATAACACCACTGCTACTGAAACTTCGAAATTCAAGCTTGAAGCCCTATGTTCCACTCGTAGCACAAAAGAATGAAAAACTTTCTTGAATAGGGAAGCATACTAAATGAAAATCTCTTTTCCATTTGAGGATGAAGAGAGGTTTGCTTAAAAGTGAGCAATAATCATACATAGATATGATAGAGAAGATTTGTAGCTCAGGTGGATAATTTTCATGTGGTTGTGTTCTCTGAGCTAGCTGAATAGTTAATTTGCGAAGCTTCCATCGCTCTACTAGGTGACATCTTCAGTGCATACTTCAATTTCATGAAGGGAGCTTTTACATTTCTCCACTAGTTTATTAATCATCTCTCCTGTTGGGTGACCTTGGACGTGGTTGGTTGTTTTGTGTGTTTTCACACCTTCTAGGTTGCTTGTATTGAAACGGATCGTTTCTTTGACTTGAACTTTGACCCTTTGTCTCTGAGGTTTCCTTCTGATCGGTTGATAGATTTTGTCTATCTCTGTGTCTATTGATTGATGATTCACTGGAATGCCACGATTATAAAAATTCTCTAGCATTCTTGTTGTTTCCTCTGTCTAATATTTCTATATACTTGAGTTTCTAATTATCAGCGAAAATTCAATAACACACTAAAGGAATTGCATACAAACACTATTCAAGAGGGCAAGGACTCATTGCAGCACTCCCACCTTAAAGAAAACTGAAGAAATATATCTCATGGACGTCTTCCAAAAGAATGGATATCCACGGAATTTCTTCAAAAAACATATACCCCCAAGCCAACCTATCAAATCAAACGCCACCAAGGAAGGCACAAAGAAAATCGCCTTACCATATATATTAAGGACATCTCAGAATTCACTGAAAGACTCTTCAAACATTTAGGAATTAACGTCGCACACAAGCCAACAAAGTCTCTTCACTCAGTTCTATATCAACCAAAAGACTTAACAGAGAAAGAAGATAAAACTAACATCATCTACAAAATAAATTGTAACAAATGCGAAAAACACTACATTGGCCAAAGTAGACGTCTCCTTCGGCTTCGTATCCACGAACATAAGCTAGCCGTCAAAAGACATGATATCCACTCCCTCATATCACTACATACAGACAACCACGGACATCAGTTCGACTGTGACAACCAGCGTTCAAATATTAGACAGAAGAAACAACAAGAATGCTAGAGAATTTTTATAATCGTGGCATTCCAGTGAATCATCAATCAATAGACACAGAGATAGACAAAATCTATCAACCGATCAGAAGGAAACCTCAGAGACAAAGGGTCAAAGTTCAAGTCAAAGAAACGATCCGTTTCAATACAAGCAACCTAGAAGGTGTGAAAACACACAAAACAACCAACCACGTCCAAGGTCACCCAACAGGAGAGATGATTAATAAACTAGTGGAGAAATGTAAAAGCTCCCTTCATGAAATTGAAGTATGCACTGAAGATGTCACCTAGTAGAGCGATGGAAGCTTCGCAAATTAACTATTCAGCTAGCTCAGAGAACACAAACACATCAAAAATAACCATGTATAAATCCCAGTACATAATTTTATGAAAGATGAACCACAAACAGAGAATATAATTACTGAAATTCAATTTATGCTATATTGATTTTAACTTCATTATAGATCCTGAGGGAAGTAACACTATTTGATTCCCAGATGCTTTTGTGGTGAAAAGGACTGGCGATACAACAAAAATATACATATCCAGAAAGTTTTTGTGCACACGATACCATATTCACTTTAAGAGCTTTATCACCGCCCAGTACAAAAAAAAAAAATAAATACATAGAAGAGAAAATTGAGATGAAGATTAGTGAGGATTTTAAAATCCGGCATCATACATATAGTAGGTCCGCGTATGTGCCATTGCGAATAGTTTTAGAGAGTATCATCAACAGTCTACAATCGTGGATTTACACCTTATCAGGCATATCAGATAGACAGTCAACACATCCCTGCATGGCTCAAATCAACGGTTTCAGACTTCACGGAGTCGTGTGAGATTTCTGTCTGCCACTTTTCAGTCCTTCTCAGTCGAATTCCACTTCAGCTAGTCAAAAATGATGGAGGCTCTGTACATATTTTCTAAGCATTTCAGTCTCATAAATCATCGATAGTCTTTACACGTCATCCAACACCACCCACCTAACCTCATCATTAGTGTGCATATTGGTCTATCCAACTCGATATATTGAATACAGAAACGTAAGGTTAACAACCGTTAATCTATTCTTAGCTTTCTTTTTTCAACGAACATGTCGTCTTATAGCCATAAAGTAGGGCATACCGTACTTATACAAGTTGACTTCGTCAGTAAAGACTTCATTCCACACTTCCACAACATCAATAAAAGAATTGTGGCTATAGTCGTGGTTAGAAGTATTGTTTTGCAGTTTCAGTTGAGAGCAGTTATTTGTGCTGTTACAGATACAGTATGTATCATACTGTCAATTGCTCAAGATGTTGTCTCAGTTCTAAACTTTAAAATAATGATAATAATGTCCAGCACACATGCCTATTGTATAAATGCTCAAAGATTATTCATACAATACAGCGAGCATCAGTAACAATGAAGTGCATCTGCATACGGAAATTATTTATTTTTTCAGACAAGATAAGAGTTACATAATTTACAAATAGTTCAGCTTAGAAACACACAACAACAGCAGTAGTAGGAATCTTCAACTGTCATCTTAAAGTGAGAAAGCTCGCTAACTATTCAGAACTTAAAACAAGTAACAACAACTAATGGATAAGGTTTCAGTGGGTTCGTGAAGCGCGAAACCTATGACTTGCTTTGTTGTTGGTAACATAATTTTGGCTCTTTTATTTCTCTCTTATTTGTATTCTATAGTGAACACCTTCTTAAACATACTTAGCTACCTAAGTTATATATGTCCAAACCAAGTTTACTTTTAACGGTTTGAAAAAATTTGGCCATTAGGTATATGATATTCATTATAATAAATGTTTTTGTATTTCCCAATGAATGAATCAAAAACAAAACGATATTGTTTTTACTGACATTTCCCTATTTAATGCTAATAGATATCAGAAAAATGACCCCATACTGACGAACGATAATCAAGTTAGTAAACTTTATTTTGATATCATAACAAATGTACTATTACCTTTGATATTTGGTAAAGTGGTCTCCATTGTTATTTTGACTTTCAATATATCCTTTTAATTTGACCTAAGTAGTCTATTTTCTCACCCCTTAACTCTTCGTTATATATATGCTGTGTGGATTTTGTAAATTTTGGTTTAATTATACTTTGATAAAGCTATTAGCAGCAGCATTAAATAGCGAAACGTCAGTAGAAACAATATCCTTTTGTTTTTCATCCATTGGGAAATATAAAAACCTGTACTATAATACTTAGCTACCTAAATTATTAACATTGACTTACTTTTTTGTACTTTGTTCTATTCCTTCTTTTGTGTATCTACTGGTCCCGATCATATTTATCACTATGAGTATTACAAAATTGTCCTGTCATTAAGCATCATGTAATATTAGTTTTATGGTTGTTCTTTTTTTGTTCGGCAATATTAAACTGACAGTCTTGGTTGTGAACGCCACTATCACCATCTTAAAAATTTTATATTATGCAGGATCACTCACACTACCACCACAAACAGCGCATTAGAGCTGACAAAAAAACCTGAAATGTTTATTTAATGATTGTTTAGTGTAGTTCAATCAAATTAACTGATCATCTTGGCGATAAACATTCTTAAATATCATTTCATAACTTCTTGTATGATTATAGTTTTACTGTTCACCATGCATACACATATCATAGCTTCCACTACCCAATACTGAGATATTTATTATGTTGTTTATTTTCCTTTCAATTTCTTGGCATTTTTTCACATTTTTTTTGCTATTTCGTCTTTTCTATGTCGTTGTTTTTTATATTTATTGTTTGAAATACTCCTTTTAAATGTTTGATAAAATTAGATGCGATATTGTAGATAAGTGCTGAAAATTCTACACTGTACCACTAGTACTGTTTCTGGAATAAAGCAAATTATTATTAGTATTATTATTTAGATAAAACGTATTTGCTCAACACCTTGCATGACGCGTCGTACATGCAACGGCAATAAAGAAAATACCAAAGCATGCAAAAAATACTAAATACTCAAGTATACAAACGGGTCAGAGCAACAAAGGGTGATCAGACAATTGTGAACACAGGCTATACAAAGTTTGAAATCAGCATGAACGACTAAATATAATATTAAAGTCAAGTAAGAATCATAGGACTTACGTAGAGTGCCATAACTGATGGTAAGTACCCACCGTGGCATAAAATACAAGAAACGTGTCCACTATGTTGAAGACGGCTTTCTAAGGCTCCCAGAACAAGTGCATCCTGTATCAGAAAACCGGTAAAGAAATTTGTAATAAGGATTTAAAGTATTGAAATGCGATGCTAGAAACTCGGCCGACCATTGTAATAAATAAATAAATATATATATATATATATATATATATATATATATACACTTTTCTAGCTGCTTAGAGATATAAACTGACCAAGAGATGTAAAAACAAAAGGGGGATTAAAGATGATATATAACACCTGATGTTCAATAACTGTCACGGTATTTTATGGGTTCACGAAGGGTGCATTGCAGATCTATGCTCCATTATTTCAAGGACTCCATTCACTTTGCCAGTCCTTAATATTACTGTGTGATAGAATAAAAAATGTTCATAATTTTCAGTCTCAGGCATATTAATTAGTACTTTAGTTTTTTTGTGGAAACCTAAATCTGTTATCAATTTTGCTTTTCTGTAAAGTGAGATAAATCTTGCTAAATATGTTTAATTTATTTCATCTGACTTAAAGCTTCATGACAACTAAATTACCAAACTGACTACTACTAACCGTTTGATTAGGGTGTCAGAGAACTACGACATTTTTATGAAACCCACTTTTAAGAATCATCCTTAGCTTCTCAAGGAGCCATTAAATCACATAGCCAGCCCATTGACCACGATCTTCAAGCTATCTCTCCTAAATGCAGTGTGACTGCAAAGATGCCATAGAATTCTCCATCTACAAAGGAGGATCTAGATAAAGCCCTTCAAACTACAGGCCTATTAGTCTCACCAGCGCTTTAATCAAGACACTGGAAAGAATCATTAATAAAGGGTCATAACATGTCTGAAAAACAACGATTTGTTATCCAAAGCACAGCATGGCTCCTGAGAAAACCTCTCACGCCTCTCAGATCTTCTCACTGCAAGAGAAAGCTGGGTCAAACCAAGGGACAACAGAAGACCCGTTGACGTCGTCTTCATAGACTGCAGCAAAACCTTAGTATAAAGTTCATCACAAAAGACTACTCATGAATTTGGAAAGTCTTGGTTTCAAAGGCAGGTTAATAAATTGGTTTAGGGAATTCCTCATAGATAAGAGGTCGAAACTCTCCTCTTGGACGGCAGTGCGTAGCGGGCTTATCTCTTCTCACGGACTCCCCTTTGGTCCTATACGCAGATGACTTAAAAATTTAGACAGGGCTGAAGGGCGATGGTGATACGCTCACGTTACAACAGGACCTCAGCAAACTGTCAGAGTGGTTTAGAGAACGGATGCTCTCGATCAAAGTTGCTAAATGTGCAGCCATGCGTGTCAGACACCCAAGCATCAGCTCCTACAAACTAGAGGAAATAAAACTCCCAGCAGTTCAGACTCATTTGGATTTAGGTGTCACAGTAAGTCACGATTTAAGAACTACAGCCCATTGTAGCGTGGTGGCTGCACGTAGTTTCAGATCCTCATGGACAATACGGTGTGGAGTCAAGCTATAATTAAAAAAACTCGCAGAGCCTTTACTAGAATCACCAGATATGTGTTCACCTCTTTATATACACCTATGAAGAGGTCAAGACTAGAAAACTGTATCCAGGCAGCCAGTCCTTGTCTTAAAGGGGACTCAAATATTCTAGAAAGGGCTGAAAGGAAGGCAACATGTATGATTCTCGGCATGACCAACTTATCATACGAGGGAAGACTACACAGTTTAAATCTCTTCTTCCGATCATACCGTAGGCTGAGAGGAGATTTAATCGCAATGTTTAAAATTTTAAATAATGACTACGGACCTGACCTATTCTCTATTTTCATTCTCACTAGGTCAGAAAACTTTAGAGAACATAGGAGGAGAGCCCAAAATCCTACGAGAAGCCCTATAGCTGTTGAGTACTGGTTCTTACACCAAGTCATAAACTCCTGGAAGCGACTCCCAGAAGAAGTGGTGTCTGCAAATTCAACTGATTCATTCACGAAGGGTTTGGACAGGCAGAAAATTTTGCTAGAACAGAACTAAGATCGGCTTTAAGCCTTCCATCTTCAACCAATAAATCTGAAATCTCCAGCAAGACATAATGAAGTGGATCTTGGAATCATAAAGTTGAAGAGTAGAAAACCTAACTTGTTTATTTACCTTATCCCAGCTAGCATTCTGTTCGGGCACATTGCAAACTTTTTGGGGCAGAATTAGGGCGCATTGCAGAATTTTTGGGGCAGACTTCGGGACACTGTCCCACGTAAGTAGATCTATCCGAAGTTTTTGCCCCAAAAAGTCTGCAATGCGCCCTAAAAAAATGCTATCTGGGTATTAATTACCACAATCAACCATCAAACTGAATACCTTTTCCAATCCTAAATACATTACAGGATGGACTGTATCCTTCTCCTATGGTAACAAATAGTTTCATGAAATAGACAGCTCACAACTCTATAGCCATATCACAGTGTGATATTTCAGCACTCAGTACTGAGTACTGAACATCAGTCTTTGTGAAGATACTTATCAGCCAAAACCCCTGCACCTTTGCACGCTGTTATGTTAACTTTGTTGCTAAAGTAAGATATCTAGTTAATTAGACATTTATGTCTGCCCAAAATCCAACAATCCCATGGTCATGGGATTCGAATGCGGCCCCTACAACCGTTTTGATGCGTTAGGGAGTTAAATAATGATAAAAAACACTTTTAATTGTCTATCAAGCCATTCACTATTTATATTTTATTTCAGACATATGCTATATTATGACAATGGTGATTGATAACCTGGAATTTCATCAGACTTACCACATGAGGCGCCAAGATTTTGACTCCGTAAGCTGTTGGCTGTGAACTATCTTCGTATGGTTTCTCAGTAACGAAAAATTTACGATCAACAAGACTCATTGCTTTTTTATAGTCACGGACTTTATATAACCATGTCCTGGGGAGAAATTAGTCAAAATGTGATGTCAGCTTACTATATAGATAGTCTAATAGGTCCCTGTATGAGTCAAAATTTGGTGAAGAAGCAACAGCAATATCTAATAAGTGCAGAGTAGTTAACGTTAAGAAGATATATTTCATAAACGTGGCTACAAACATAGTTTGAACAAGAGTGTTGAAAATCCGCTGTTGTTCTCATAATATAATTTCGACAACATTCGAAACGATAAAACAAATCATAATCAGAATAAAACTTAGCAGCAAGTCATCATATAAAGGCCATATAACGAGTTGTGGAGAAACAATTTCTAATATTGTTACACTGTTGGTGTTCAGCGGGAGGCGAGAATCACTTCCAACCTCATAGAAAGTCTTGTTTGCAATATCCAATATTGTTTTTACGAGCTATTATAAGCTAATTCGACCTCTTCGTGCTCTCTTCTTGATTGTGAGGTGAAGTTCCCTGGTCTTAGGTAAACGTTTTTGCACTTCGTCCATCCACTCGACTGTCGTAGCTTTGGTCGTCTCAAAAGGAGTGGTCCCGGGATTAATTATATGTTGTTTGTAGTATGGGATGTGTTGAGACTTCGTTGCTGCTGTGAATAAAGTAAATCATTTCACCAGTCAATCTCCCGCTATAGTCATCAAAGGAAAAGAGATGATAGTAATATATATAATTAGTGCAGGCTGTTCAAAATAAAAGATAGAAAAAGAAATAAAGAAAACGTAAGAACGAACAGCGAATTAAATTTGAATCTGATATATATACATATATATATATATATATATAAATATATATGTTATATCAATGATAATTGTAGTAAGTGTAGTCGTAGTAGTTTGCAGCAGTCAGGAGAACAAGACAGGTGAGAATGTGAAAACTTAAAACAACGAATTTATATGTCTACCCACTAATGGTGTAGGGAATTCTAAGGAAATAGGCAATTTGGACGCAGTATTTGTGTGGCTGCATGATTTGAAGCTATCTACAGACGGTGCCGTAGCTACGTCTGCCTGCAAGGAGTTCCAAAGGTGGCAAACCCTCAGTGAAAAGAAGTAAGAGCGCACTTGAGTCTCTTCCCTCTGGTGGACTATCCCTCTGGGATTTCCACGAGGAAGCTGATACCTACTCAATGGCAGAACATCTTTGTTTGGGCGATTCTGGTCATTTGTTATCTTGTAGGCAGTAATCAAATCCCTCTAAGATGACGGTAGCTAAGTGTGAATAGGTTTAATTTCTTGAGACTTTCATCATGCGGTTTATTTCGGAGACCCATCACTTCTTTTATAGACCGTCCTTAGACTCTTTGCAAGAAGTTTGCGCCCCTCCTTGACCATGGGGATGTAATGAGATTATACACTTAAAGGTCTGGTCTGTACAACCTTAGAAATACCTCAGGAGTGAGTGCGCCTTACTGTCTATGTGTAAAGTGTGTGACCACATATGCTGTTGCTACATCCACTGTTTAACATACACTTGAGTCTATTTTTCCGTTAGAACTAGACTTAAGCCATGTTCCGACGTTGTGCAGGGCAAGCCTTTGTCGCGGGGTGTAACCTACATTATTCAGGTGCGTCTTTTCATTACTTTGCACTTTTTCAGGTTAAAAGTCATAACACTGGCCACCGCCAAGTCTTTCAGGGGCTTTATGTCTACCTGAAGCGTATCTAAGTCTTCCGAACACTTTATTGCTCACAAGAGCTTTTCTCCGTTAGCGTACAGAAGAGTCGGGTAGACTAAACCTCATGGTGGGTCATCGATAAGAACCAAAACACGTCAGTTTTCCTATAGAAGAACCCTGAAGCCCTCCTAGTGAACGAGCCTGCCAAGATGATCGGACTCGATTCGCCCTAGCGCAGAATTTCCTTTCAGCTATGTAGTCCCCCAACCATGACAGAAGCGGCTTACCTTAACCTGCCTGACTTGTTTTGTGTAGGAGAAAGTCGTGGTGATCTGTCTCAAATGCTTCCTTAAAGTCTAAGAAGACTACATGAACTGTCACATTCACATCCCAGAATGATGTCCAATCATCCCAAAATGATGGTGGGTTTGTTACACAGGATTTACCCTTCCTTAAATCATACTGAGCCTTGTGCAGCCTGTTAATCCTATCGACGTGCTCCCTGATGTGATCGTCAATTGCAATTTCCAGTACTTTTGACACCACCGGGAGTAGAGCTACTAGTATATAAGTAGTGACATTTCGCCCATCTCCACCCTTGAAAATGGGAGAAAGTACTATTCTCTTCAAGTCCCGTAGAAGTCTTCTTGAATCCATCGAGTGCTGGAACAAGTCACTTAAGGCCTCGGCTTACTGTTTCAGAACAGATTTCCTGATGTTGCCAAAACCTGGGGACTTTCAAGCTATGGTTTTCTGTAGCTACTCAGTACTATTATGGGGTTTATCTGCGGAGTAGCCACTGGTTTTCCCCTGATGGAATGGTACCGCCTCCATTTCAGCCCGCAGAAGCAGTAGCCACACTGCTGTTTAACTTGTCACAGAAGGCCTAACTAAATGTTTTGGTTATCTTCAGATTATGCAGGCCCTGATCGTTTGAACATACTAGGGTGCATATCACCTGGACGTTTGGCTTTCTCTTCGACACGAATCGGTACTTCTCAGCGTGGTTTACGTTTATTATTGTTTTTCTCGTATTCCCACTGTTTAGGATATATTTTTAGTGTCACTGATCGCAAATCGCAATATTTGTTTCATACGCAAACTTTGCATTTTCAGTCGCTGAATATTATCTTTGCTATTATTAATGTTTCAGGTTGCTGTTTAAGGCATTACCACATCAAGCATCTGACTTTCGGTGCCCATATTACGCTTGTTTTTGTTTTGACATAACGTCAAACAACCTGATACTCATATACCTGTAGTTCTGTATTAACTTTACACAAAATGCCAGTTAAGCTATCGAAGCGTCATGCTTGATTATGGGCTGAAAACTTCAGCCAAAAACACGAATCTAGCAAGCCCGAACAGCACGGTACCACAATTTCCCCTGGTCTGACACAGATGCTAAATAAGACAAGATCAGAAATCATTACTTCTTCACCTGCTTGTGTGATAATGATTTTATCGTGAATACTTACAGTAGTAAAGGTTGTGAGACAAGTAGTATGGATTCCTACCTAGCGACACTGGCTCTTAATAAAAAATCTGACACCGGCTCCTCTGATGTGGTTGAATCCACACCACCAATATGCCCTGCTCAGAACTGTCAGTCAGAAGGTCCGAACATACATGTGACCTCACTATCATCTGTACCTACTAATAACAATTCTTCTGAATGTGTCAAAAGAAATGTTAGCTACCCTACACGCTTTGTATCCATAGACGTCGACCTTGATAGTCCTTGCAATACACTAGCAGATTTGCTATCATCTAGTTTCGTCCTATTGGATGCTTTTAGGCAGGATAAACATGTGCCAGTACAGAAGGCAGATTGTAGCAAGACCGCTAATTTTTACGATAAACCCTCCCCTATCGTAAGAAGTTCCATAGGTCATCAGCAACTTGTAAACGTCAACTTATTGCCGAATTTGAAAAAGCAGACAGCTCATTATCCACAAAAGGCACATTCACCCAAGCCAATAACCTGGAAAGTACGAACATTCTTCCATTAGTCCATGATCTCTTAACTCCTAGGTATTTGATGAAGCCTACTGACTACTCTGACTATGATGCATTAGAGTCTTGTGAGAGAATTATTGATCACATTTCCACGGAAATGATAAAGCGTGTTCAAAGCATGTCTATGCAATCGTTTCTCATGTGCCCGACAGTACCAAGATCAAGACACTGAAAAACGCAATTTTAAAGGCACGTGAAATACCACATTGCTATTTTACTTGCAAACAATTGCGTAAATCTTCAGCTAACACATCCTGACCAATAATGGCGGCATAACACTCACCGAGATATACGCTGTTCACTGGTTGACCATAACTATTAGCAGGAAACGGAACGAAGTTTGGGTTGTCGCTCAATTTTGATGGTGAAACTAGTGAATGGTTTAGAATGTAACATTCCTATTCCTATTCTCTGGAGGGTACGGTTGTGCACCAAATAGAAAAAAAGACATGAAATAAAAACAACTGGCTTGAAAATAATTGTATTAAAGCCAAAAGTGGACATCATGATAATATAAAATATATTGGTTTCATTATACATTGCAAATGAACGTTGTCGGCCTAAGGATTAATTACTTCCCCATTCTGTTTTCTATATAAATGTGTTTATTAATGATATATTTCACTCACTTAATCTATTACACTTTAATGTTTCACCTCAGCACTTTAGTTTTTCTAAAACAGCTTCCAATTCCTTGTAAACGTTGTACTTACCTCAATATTGGTTGGTTATCGTATGCCTACAACCACGGGATGAAAACGAAACGAAGTCGATTTTCCCGCTCAACCTGGAGGACAACTGTACAATTCAATAACTATACGGCCTGGTTCAGACAATGAGTGTAATTATATATATATATATCAAATATTAAACTGTTGAAACATTATTAACTTGTAGACAATTTAAGATTTGACATTATATCATCCTTGATCGTGCCTGTAAAAATGGCATGCATTTTCATGTAAATTTATGTTTATATGAAAATAAATTATTATTATTATTTATCAGAGCCTGTTCTGATTGCTTGTACAATAATTGAACAATTTAAACTTTTGAATTAGTATTAATTTATGATACTTCAGGATTGTAATTTATGACGTTACTGATCGTGCCTGTAAGAATGGCATACATTTCTTGTAAACTTACCCGTTTATACGAAATATAAATTATTATTATAGATGAGAGACTGATCGGTTCATCTAGTGATGGGTGGAAAAAGCCTTCATCTTTTTCATTAAGGTTCTGCTCAGTTCACGATCGTATGGAGATAAGCATACGGAAACCAAGGTATGCTGAGTGTCTGAAGAGGGTAGATTTGAG